CAAAAAAAAAAAAATAAAAAAAAAAAAAAAAAAGATGTTTCCTCTCTACAGATATATGAGTAAATCTGAATTTTGGCCCTAAATAAAGAATACTTACATAATATTAATTCACCCAGCAAGAGAAGTCTTAAAATTCCTACTAACAAATTCTTAGATTCATAGTGTACTTTTTATTCTTACTTTCATGAAAATCAGATGAAGCTAAGCTGGCTTGAACTACATTTTGAAATTGTTAGTTATTTACAACAAAGAGGTTTCCTGTCCTTGCAACCTAAAAAAAAATGATGTATGCTATGCAACTTAGAATAGTTGTTCTAGAGATGGTAAGGACAAAGGAAAGAAAAAATAATTTTTAACTGGTTAGAAGAGTGAATATAGGTAGAAAGCAATATTCTCTATTTGTAATTCATTTAATGTTGGTAGCTTTCCCCAATAGATAAGGAAATTGACATGGTAGGGTTTTTCCAAAGTAAACTATAACATAAAAGTTTGCCTCTCTAGCTGTTAAATGTCTCTCTGATAACCTGGCTACAGAAAGACAATTTTATATGCAATCGAATTTAAAGGATCTTTGCTCATAGATATTAACATTACATTAACTTTATTTTAAAATTCTTATGATTGTGCATTATACTTCACTGTATATTTATTATAAATATTGAAAATATTAGATATATATGAACTGATAAGAGATAAGCTCCAAACAACATTGCTATATGAAATACATTCAACTGGTAGATACAATAAAGTGTATACTAGTCTATCATTTGTACAAAATGGAAAAAACACAAAACAGGTCTTTTGGTATACCAATTGAATATCTCTGGGTGGACATACAAATAATTGGTATCACTGGGTCCCTCTATGGAGAGGGAAGGGGCAAAGGAGGTCGGGAGAACTTTTGAGTATTTGCTCATTTGCTGTATTGAGTTTTTTCCTAGCCCAATGCATAACATCCCCATAAACACACACGTGTAGTTATATTTTTCCTCATTCTAAAATTGACACTCTAGGGAAGGTGAACTACATTTTTGCCCTCCCCTCACACACCTTGCATATTGGTGGGCATTTCCTGACCCACAGGTTTTTTATCACAGTTTGAGTCCTGTAAAGGAGTGGCCTGGTTTATAATCCTGGTTCCACTGATTCTTAGTTTAGTGACTTTGTATTTTTACCTCTTCAACCATTAACTTACTAATCCATACTATGATCACCACAAGTCCTACTTCACAGGGCTTTCATAGTGCTTAAATAAAAGAGCACATCTGATGATGCTTAGCATAGTGCTTAGAATGGGGCTGGTGTTCAAGAGATGATTGTTTTAGTGTGCCGGGCACCATCCTAGATTCTGAAGCTGCTAGGATAAAAGTGTTCCAATCCGTAAGGAGCTCACACTCTACAATGGCACACAAACCTGCAGATTAAACAAAAACAGGATGTCTGGCCCTGGCCGGTGTGGTTCAGTGGTTAGAGCGTCGGCCAATGTGCCAAAGGTTCATGGGTTCGGTTCCCAGTCAAAGGCATGTACCTGGGTAGCAGGTTTGATCCCCAGCAAACATTGTATCAGGTAAAAGCAATTAGGTGGATAGGCCTTTACTATAAAGTTTTATGTGTATTTGGCTAGGAATTAGGCTGTATTATTGTTTTCTGTAGCCGTGGTGTCTGAGGCTAAAATTTACTCTAGTGTTCTTGTTTTTGTTTCTCTTGTTGTCTTTGGATGTCCCTAGTGATTCTTTAAATAGGGTCTGAGGCTTGCAGTTCTTTTAGTTAGAATCCCGTTATTACACAAAAACGTACTGCTGTGGTGTCCTGGTAAGGTGTGGGAGAAGAGAAAGCATTCTGTAGTCCTGTGATTAGGTCTCAGTCCTTCCCTGAGCCTGAGTTGAGTATTTCCCTCCTCCCATGTTGGAGGCTAGGGAAGGCTGAAATTGGGTGTTTCTCTTCCTCAAGGTTGGTTAGGCTCTGATAAAATAGTTTCCCTTGGGAGCAAGAGGAGGTTTTCTCAGATGGTCACAGTGAGAATATGTTAGGGTTATTGGAGGTAAAACTCAGAAAACCTGTGGGGCCCCCTTGGGGTTTTTAACTCAAGCAGGTCCACACAGAGCCTACAGCAATTCCTCAGTTACGGTTTAAAGTGTTCCTACTGACACTGGGCTTCAGCTGCTGACTTCACTCCTAGTAAACTGCAATCCTCTGGTAAATTGTGATTCTCCATATCCCTCTGCCTCTCCAGTTTTCAGAGCAGCAGTTTTCCCTGTCACCTCAATACTCTCTGGTGGATCTAAGATGAGTTGGATTCCAGTTTGTTCAGTTTTCTTTCTTATTGTGAGGATGGGAGGTTCCAAACTCTACATGTTGGATCAAAAAACAAAAATCCCTTGGGATTCCTTTGTAAATTTATGCTTAAAGTGTCTATCATAATTGAAAAGTGCTAGTGTCAAGTTATCAGTCTATTCTTATTCCCCATAAATTCAGAAATACATATTTATTTTCTGTTTTGATCCTTGAAAAAAAAGCAAGAGGACTTTTAATGCCTGTTATCTTCTAAGCACTTTCCTTCCAAATGATATACCTTGTGTTGTTGTTCCAGTAATAGAATAGGGCAAAGGGAGGGGAGTGAAAACTAAGGGTAATAACACGCCAAGAACCACTTATTGACCACTAGGTTTTCTTACATAGTTTGATACATTGTAAATTATCTGAATCTGATGTGTTTCACTCTTTAGAAGGCTGTATTCTCTATCACTTAGTAGTAATTCAATTTTCAAATTTAACTTGCTTCTTCCTCAGTCACTTTCCAACTTCCTACTAACTGTGGGTTAAGGGTCAATTGAGTCATCTGCAGGTAATCTTTCAGTCTACTTAGAAAGTTCTGCACAGTGATTTGGAATAAAATTTGAACCCTTACAAAGATTAGAAAGTGATTGAATAAGGCTGTTCATTAAGTTTTATTTACATTGTAATAACCTAAGTGCATTTATTAATAGTTGACTTAAGAGAATGATTTAAAATTTTTCCCATAGAAAATTTTCCCTTTTAGATTTTTTTAAAAATATGACTAATTAGATTTGAGAATACTATCTGGCTCCATTGTAATTATGTGAAACCAAGGTGGTTGAATATTACTTCTTTTCATGTTCATATATGTATCTGTGTGTATATACATACATGTGTATACATATACACATAAAATACCATAGTATACATTTTTGAAAAGGGAAAAATTGAACTTTGGGGCAAATTTAATGAATGTTCAAAAATATCTTTTGCTGATTGAACTGTTCTGCTTTAAACTTTTGAAATGTTTTAAAACAATTTTTAAATGACTTAGATTTGCTATTACAAAATGCTGTATTGTGAGGTTTTTTTTGATGTACCAAGTATTAGATACTTTAGTTATACTCAGTGACTAGAGAGAATTTCTTACAAATATAGTGAGAAAGGAAATGATTAAATCTCTCTGCAACCATGCCTATATATGAGGGTGGGAATACTGTGGGCAATTCTAAAGTTGAAAATAGAGAATATATGTGAATTTATATTACCATAATTGAAATTTTTGATAGTTAAAACTGGCTGAACTCTGGCAGAAGCCCAAGTGACTATTGCTAGCAGAGACACAAATTTGAAGTAACAGTAATGGTATGAATAATAAAAACAAAACCACCAACAATACTAATGGCTTACATTTATTGATTGCTTATTATGTTCCAGATATTGTTCTAAGTGATTTACATGTATTATCTCATTTATTTATCCCATAATTTTGTGGCATAGACAGAATGAGTAAACTGAGGCATAGAGAGATTAAATGACTTGTGTCAGAGCCTGTATTCAAGCTCACTCTTGACTTTGACACCAGAGTTCTTAACATCAAGTCTTCAGAATGTTAAAAAGTTTGTAATTTACAGTTGTTCTTTCCACAATTAAACAGAAAAATGACTATTTTTGGTCTTTTTCTCTTTTCAGGTATTTCCTATAGTACTTTTGAAAAAGACATATCATTCAGTGTTGTAGATCTGAAAAGAAAAAGAAAAAAGTACATTAAGATCAATATTTAACCAATATCCTTACGGGTCTATTGACCAGTTAAAAAGAGGTGCTATGTGAATCAGCTATTGTTTTACCAGAATTTAATGCTTTGTTATATAGGCCATTGTTTTTACACACCAATATAATTGAAATCCACTACAGATATTCACATTAATTTATAACCCAAAGCTTGATTGTACCAATATTACTAAGAAAGCAAAGGTGAGAAAATAATCTAGTGTTAAGAGGAGATATATATACAATTCTTCTCTATTGAACTCAAAATACATTCTTTTTTTCATTTAAAAGACTGACAGGCTTGAAATGTATGCTTCCAAAGTCAAAATGTAATTAAGTCTTATTCAGTAACTTGCAAAGTCATGTTAGCAAACAGGTAATACTGGCCGCCGGCCTATCCAGTTAACTCCGGTTCAGACTTCCCCTGCCCAGGATTTGGTGGGGGTATGGAGAATCCTTCCTTTTTCCAGGCCACACAATGAACTCAGATACAGGTGGTAAGTCTCAAACTAAGGGTCGTTTTACCTGGTGTGTGTGTGTTTAATCCATCTAAAATTATTTTGGGGCTCATTTAAAAGCAACAAGAAAGTAAAATAAAAGTCCACCTAAAGCCACTTTTCTTACTCTGCCCCGGAAATTCAGGTTTATGCTCTTTAACCAAAGCCACTTACACCTATTTGTAAGTGCTTAAAATAATTTCAGATGTTAAGATTTTCTTACTATCTTTACTTCCTTTCAGAGGTTTACAGCAAGAGGAATTTGTTTTATACTTTTGTTTGCCATTTACTCAGTAATCAAACTTCATCACAAAAATTTAGTGGTCAAGGAGAGTACCCTTGCGTTCTCTGGCAAAGAGTGTGGTCGGTGACATGACCCGTTGTTAGGTAACCTGGCAAGAAAGACCCCATTGTAACGCATCCGAGCAAAGGGACCAAAGCGTTTGCCGTAACGAATGGAAAATTCTGTTCTGAACTGGGACTCAGTAGAGCTGGCAGCAAACCTGCACAGCACAGCCGCCGAGGAGACAGAGCGCGCGAGACTTGCTGTGCCGAGAGCAGGAAATGCAACGCAGACTTGAAACCCACAAAACGAAATCCCTTTTCAGCAGCGCCCCCCAAAGTCAGCCACTGCTTTCCCTAGGAGAAGCTCAGGTCCCCCGAGCGGGCTGGCCGCAGCCCAGCTCCTTTCTCCTTCCTCCGCAGCTGCAGACAGACGAGCACGTGAGCGCGGCGGCGCGGCCCAGCTGTGCCTCAGCTGACCGACTCTTGATTGGCTGAGACCAACGAGGGCTGGGGTGGGGCCTGGCCTCCTACGCCGCTCGCCATTGGCTCTCAGGGAACCCGCCTCCCCCTCAGGTGAGGGTTTGCGGGAGCGCGCGCCGGGCTCCCCG